CAGATGCATCACCCTCTCAGCACAGCAATAATGTGTTTACTAACCAGAAAGCTCCACTGTCTAGAGTTTTTATTGGGGTTTCATTACATGAGCATGATTGATTGAACTCAATTTCCAGCCCTCCTCCATGCCACAGATGTCAAGATAGCTCAAAGTTCCAACTCTCTAATCAACATGTGCTTGCTTGCTTTTCTTTCTTTCTTTCTTTCTTTCTTTCTTTCTTTCTTTCTTTCCTTCCTTCCTTTCTTTCAATATTTTTATTTATTTGTTTGCAAGAGAGAGAACACAGAGGGAGAGGGAGAGGGAGAAGCAGACTCTGCTGAGCCAGAGAGCTCGATGCAGGACCCTGAGATCACGACCTGAGCTGAAGGCAGACACTTAACCAACTGAGCCACACAGGCGCCCCATGGTTGGTCTTTCTTGTGACCAGACTCCACACTAAAATTATCCAGGGGCCTACCTTGAGCCATTTCATTAGCATAAAAACAATATTCTATATCACTTGGGATAGTCCAAGGATTAGAGTCTCCCTCCCAGGAACAAATACAAATCAAATTCTTTATTCTATGCCATTGCTCTATCCCATCCCACTGCCCGAATTTGTTGTTTTCTAGCACCTTCAGTTCTGTCAGGGGCACTGCCAACCACCCTTTAAGCCTGCCACAGCTTGTCTTTGACTCTGTCTTTCCTTTGCCCTTCTCAAATAGCATGATTTCCCTTGGTTTGATTTTCTTCTCCAGGTTTCCTGGATTCTTCCTCTCCTCTCAACTTCTAATGCCACCATTACCCCGCCATTCAGAATTCAAACCCTCAGGAGCCTACGTTGTTGTGGGACTTCTTGACTGATCTGTCTTCCCCACCTTCATTTACTTCAATCCTTCTTGCACACAACTATCAGATCAATCTTCCTTAAACATCCAAGTAATTAGAGGTGGTTTGTTCCTCTAAGTGGCTTGAATGAGAATCTGTTTTCTCTGTGCTATAAAGTCTCCTCTGACATTACGTTTCCTTGCTTTTGCTCAAAGCAGAGATCAGAAAAACCACCAGCATGCCAAATAGTCTTGAGGAAAAGTACACAGTATGGTAACGGGAATGAGCACTGATTCTAGAGTCTAAAAGGTTTGGGTTTGAATTCTGGCTCAATTGCAGTCTGTAGGTGCCTATCATTGTAGAGGCACTGCATAGGGCAGAGATGTGAAGTGTGCAGTACATAGATACTTATACATAGAAAATCAAATCTGCAGCTAAATGGGTATTTTTCACACTCACCACACATTTCTCTAAACCCTTCCTTTTTAAGGCACTATACTAATTTCTTATTGCTGCTGAAACGAATTACCATGAACAGGGGTTTAAACAATATGAGTTCATTTTCTTGCAGTTTTGGAGGTCAGAAGCCCAGAATGAGTTTCACCAGACTAAACTCAAGATGTTGGCAAGGCTGTGTTCATTGTGGATGCTCTGGGGTAGCACCTGTTTCCTTACCTTTTCCAGCTCAAGGCCACCTGCATTCCTTAAGTCTGTTCTCCATCTTCAAAGCCAGCTAAATCAGGCCAAGTCCTTTTCATGCTACCATTTCTCTGGTTCTCCATCCTCTGCCTGTTTCTTCCACAATTAAGGACCCATGTGATTACACTGGGTCCACCTGAATATTCCAAGCTAACTCCGCATTTTAAGATCAGCTAATTAACAACCTTAACATATCCACACCCTTACTTCCCCATTGTCATTTAAGGTAACATATTTAGAGGTCCCTGAGATTAGGAAACGGGCGTCTTTAGCAAGGGGAGGGCTTTATTCTCTCTCATGCCAAGTTCAGGTGAAGTATTACCTAGGAAGCTTATCCTCATGTCTCTCATTTGTATTGCTCTCTTTCCTCTAACTCAGTAGTTTTCAATTTTGTCACCTGTGACACTTTAAAAACTATTGATGTCTGGGTCCCATTCTTGAGACTGGGGGGTTTAATTGGTCCAAGGTGTGACCTGAGTGAAGGACATTTTTATAAAGCTCTCCTAGTGATTCTAATATGCAGCCAAGGTTGAGAACCACTGCTCCAGCAAATGCCTGTGTTTTCATCTTATCTGTCAATGTAGAGAGGAGGTATCACATGATAATTAAAAGGAAGACTGCTAAATGTCTATATTCATACCTCTTGGCTCTACTTCTAACTAGTGGTCAAATCTTGAGCTCTTTAAGCAATCCCTTGGTGCCTCTGTTTCTTCATTTGTAAACTGGGAGGGATAAAAAGACCCCCTAGCTTTGTTGAGAAGGTTGAATGACATAATGTACATAAAAGTGTTTAGTACAGCACATGCCTTATCTTTGAAACTCACCTAGAAGCTCTGCCTGGGCATAACCAACCACTCTTTCTGTGATTCTCAAAAAATACTTGTTATTTGATGGATAGAAAACAAGCAAGTGTGGCCAAACCTCATGATTGCAGCTCTTTGAGCCATAAATCTTATTTTAGTTTATTTTTAGAATAGTTTTGTCATATCTTCACTCTCCAAATATCTTCAACCAGTGTAAGCTGAATGCACATTAGAATCTTTTTGGAAGCTTTTTAAAGTATCAGGCCCAGGATCCAGCTCCCCCATCTCTTCCCTGATATATCAACTCAACTGGAGCCCAGACATCATATCTTTTAGCCCTCAGGTAATTATAATACAGAGCAAGGGATTCCAATCTCGGACCTGGACTAGATGTCTACAACTGTTGCACTCTAAGTACATCTAACAAAGGTAATGACTTATACCTGGGAATGCCATGGTGGGTCTACTGATTGGGAAAGAGTGTAGTAAAAGGGAAGTAGGGAAGGTAAGGGATTTAAAAAGAGAAAGAGGAAGGGAGGGAGGGAGGGAGAAAGAGACCAGAAACCAGAGAAAGTAAGGAAAGAAGGTCAAGTACACCTGAAAGTTATCCCTTGATGATTTGTTGGTACTCATGCTATGTATTAACTAAGCTCTTCCACCCCAACTGGGCCTTAAGGAGAGATGGGTATCCATGAAAAGAATCTCATTAGAGTGGAGATTCTATGTCCTTCCCACAGTATGTATTCAAAATCTGTTTCAGCAAACCTGAATCCAACAGCTGTACAGATTTGTTCTGTGGCCACTGAGGCAGGTAGTACTAGAAGTTGTGTAAAACAAGGCTACACTGAAAGTTTGGGGCTCTTCCTTAAACAACTCCAGAGAAGAAATTCCTTGCTCATCCTGGGTAGTACACAGGTCACTATGGGGACTGCAAGGAACGTGAGTCAGAGGAGACAATTACTCAAGAAAGTTGCTCAATCTCCTAACATCCAGTGGTGCCAAGAGGCTCTAAGTAACCACAAGGTGACTCCCAGGCAGGTGGCCAGAGCACAAAGAAGTTTCCTATCTGCTGCAAAAGGATCTACAGCAAAAACCATATCACAGCTCGAATTTACACATCTGTTATAATGTAAAAAATTCTTTCCCACTTATGATCTTACCTGATTTTTTTTTTCAGGGGGGAAAAAAAACACCTTTGTAAGATACATGGGTTAAATATTATCCCCATACTGGAGGTGAAGCTCAAGTCTTGGGCAGTGAGTGACTGATAGAGATAACCCTATCTCCTTTCCAGATGCACTCTTCCTTAAGAAACGCATAATTAATCATGACATAGATGGTTATAAATAAACTATAAGTATTTAAAAACAACCAATTGTCTAGGTGCTGAAAATCAGCACGTGTGGGACACCAATGAGGCTTCATCTAAGAAGGAAAGGTAAGCATGGGGAGGTGTTTTGATATGAAATAACAGTAAATTCCACTGGGAAATGGAAATTTAATATAAACAGTATAAACAGTATATTTTATCAGCAAAAGAAGATTATATATAACATACCACTCTCTATATATTTCTGGAGTGAACATGAAACCTCATTTACCGAATGTGACTATTATAGGTCAGACATTTTATTAATACTAGTTACTGATTATTAAATATCTAAATAGCAGAATAAGACAAGATTCTTGACATGCATTAACAATCCAGTCCTAACAACTGCCCTATAATATAGGTCATTATTACAAGATGATGATGATGATGATGATGATGATGATTTTTTTTATTATATTTTATTTTTATATTTATATTATATTTTATTATAATTATTATTATTATTCATGTACAAGGAGACTGACGCCCACCAGGCCAGGGCCCCACAGCTGGCGGATGGCAGGGCCATGATTCAGACCCAGGTCGCTCTGACTCCCAGCTCATGCTTTTTCCGCTGCTCTATGCCATCTCCTCTAAGCCCATAATTAAGCAAAATAATATACTCTTCACAAATGAAAAGATCTCATACACGAAAGTGACGAGACGACTTTTGGTTGATGGGCTTCCAAATATGTGGCGGATCCTTTTTCTGGAAACCGCATTTGGCATAAGGGGGCCTAAAGTCCAGACAGTTTTCATGATGTAACTCAAGGTCTCCGTGAATGTTAGCCTTGAGTCTGAAATAGCTCTGAGCCCTCCCATCCTGGCATCTTCCCTGCAACGCCCCCTAGTCCCCCCAGCCAAGCTCAGACTGCCCACAGGACTTGCAGGTGGGTGAGTTGACAATGCTGGTGGGGTTGGAAACAAGGTACACCGTGATCCCCTTCTTCATCCCAGTAACTATTTCCAATGCTCTCACTCTCTTGGAGCTTATTCTCGGCTCTGTAGGGCTTCATGTTTGTTTGTTTTGCTTTCAGGTTTAAAAAGGGCTCTTAGCAGCAGTTCAAGACTTTCATAAAATTAATCACTTAGAGCCATCCAGAGGGCTGCTGGAAAGAAACGACCCTCTGTGAGGTGGTGCCTGAGACCGGATTTTGACTGTGATCTGATTTTGCATAAAACTCGTTTTCATGGTGCTTCTTTATATCTCCATTCCCATCTACCTAGTCTTCATCAAAGAGCATCTTCCTCCAAGTCCTAAAGTCAGCCAAGTGGACACCCCACGGTTCTCATCACACCCAACAGCCTTACCTGTGAGTCCCAGGGATTCTGCTGCTCTGGCTCCTCAGCAGGTCGCCATCTCCCTCAGTCTTCCTTGGCCCCATGCCTTGTCTTCCTTGAGACCCTTTTCCTACCAGGGTTTAGTTTCTGTCAAAATGGAAGCAATCAGAAGTAGTGAAAAGGGGCATTGGAATGACAGTCCAAAGAACTCAGTCTGGGTTTACTTCCCCCTCCCCTCACTCAGCTGACGAGGTGACCAGGAACTAGTCACCTACCTGTTGGAAACTCCTTTTCTCATATATAAAGCAGAGATCACAGTAATATGTGTCCTACTTGTCTCACAGACCTCTAGTAAGGGTCAGAAGAGAGAGGAAACAAAATGTAAGGTAAGCATTAGTTCATTCACTGCCACTCCTGTGACTAGAGACTATCTCACGGAGCTCCCTTTGACAGAAGGGAGGCGGAGCTGGAAGTGAATTATTATATACGTTGTCATGTGATGGAATAAGGTGTAGAGTGTCAAGGGGGCCTGGAGGAGAGATCCTGGCTGACATCTGGGATAGGGGACACAGCCAGGTTCCAAGAAGAATCCACAGAGGAAGTCAGATTTGAGGCGGGCCATGATGGCAGAATAGGCATTCTCTGAGAAAACAAAGGAACAAAGAACATCTCAGGACAAAAGACCAGCACATATAAAGAGCTGCTTATGCTAACATAGATTTTGTCACCTAAGTGCCAGGGAAGGCACAATGGCTTTAAGCAGAAAGTGGAATAATAAGACGCATGTTTAAGAAAGATCATTTTAGAGGCAGTGGGGCAAGGAAAACAAGAGAAAAACTATTTTTGTTGCTATTATTATTATTGTTATTATAAGAGATTATCTCTCATGGGAGCCTGAATAGAAATTAAGTATGAGTTGAGTCAAGAGTTCAATTTTCCTCTGCATTAAGGAAAGAGAGTGAACCCTGGGGCAAGACTGGGAAGGGGAAAGAGGCATTGGCCTTTGTTCCAAGGTAAGGTGACATCCCAGAGTAGGATAAAGGCTCTCTTTCTAGGGAGTGAAGGTTCCTTAATGTCAGTAACCTCAAGAAGGAGTTGATGCTGGAAAACTAAATGGAGCCCAGGATGACAAAACTCATCTCTGAGCCTGGACTCAAAGGAGTCTAGATAAGTTCAAAAACATTCTCTTGCAGAACAAATGTCTTCTGACATAGAAAGATAGCCCTGGAGGCATGCCAGGAGGCCCCTGAGAGGGACCCCAGGAGAATGCACTTGGGTCTCTCATGCCTAAGTGTCTCCACGTCAAATAACAGTTGTATTTCCCCCTGATTTAATAGCCTTTTCTTATCCCAGAGCCATCGGCCATGTCATGAAAACTTAACTGGTCTCAGCTGTGCTGAAAGAAGAATGAAGCTTGCCCGGGCCAGAACCACAGTGATAGAGAAAAGCAGTGAGGATAATGGTCAATGTTTACTTAGCCAGGAATAGAGTTAGGAGCTTAGGCCGATTACCTTATTATCTCAACAATCTTGAGATTAGAGAACTGCAGTTAACCACGTTTTATAGGTAAGAAATCTAAGGTTTAGAGTGGTTAGAGAACGTGCACAATCACACAGCTGATATGTGGCATTCTGTCTCCAAAGATAAGTCTGTTTGCTGCTACCCTGGACTAACTCCCAGCTTTGGTCCAAGTGAGCAATGGCCATAGCCATGCATAAAGTGGAAACAAAGGAGACTGGCAGTGTCATGAGGAGCTGTCTGAGATGGAGCAGCCATGGTGGGTCCATGGCTGAAAGATGCAAGCGCAGGCAACAGTGCATACTAACATTGGGATGGAGGAAGATGTGGCCTGGGGCTTCTCTGAGAGTCAGAAGAAAGGTCAAGGAAACCTCAAAATGAAGACTGAGACCCTGTTCATAGTGATGAGTGGCAGCAAGCTGCCAGACCTCAGCCTACCCAATGTGGCCATCTTTATGCCTACCAGCTAGCGAGGCCTGAGGGACTTCCAGCTTGCCATCACCTGGCCATGAGTATTGTTTTCACAGAGGAGAAAAGAGGAAATATCAAGAAATTACAAAGTGGCCCATAATCAAATTTCAAACTTGAAAATTCCTGAGAAAAACTCTATTCTACAAAGACCTAAACAAATGACACGCTGATAGCACGCTGTTTTTAGAGCCCTCTGACTTAATCTGCTGTTCTATTAGCAATTCTACTGTTACTAATGGATTTTCTTTGGAATTCAATTCTAGTAGTGCAGGGAAGAAACTGGCCACAGCACCAGAGGCTTCTTTAAAGGCAAATAACATCAATATCTACCCAAAGGGCCTCAAAGATATGTGGTTGCCCTCCAAACCAGTCCCCAGGAAGCTGTCTGGAGTCTTAGCCTCTCAAGATGAAGCCTCTCTACTTCCATAATCCCTGTAGAACATTCCACAATTCAGAGATGACCCCGCCACTGGAACTTTTCCAAATAAGGGGGCCGCATCTCAAGATCCCCACCACTCAAAGTGTAGGAATCTAAATCAGCAGCAGCAGCAGCATCTGGAAGCTTGTTGGAAATGCAAGATCTCAGGCCCCACCAAAGACATAAGAAATCAGAATCCTCATTTAACAAGATCCTCAGGTGATTTGTGTGCATGTTACATTAAGAAGCATAGCTTAAGATTGCCTGAGATCTCTAAGTATCAGGTACCACATGGGATGTAATACCTGTATTATAACATTAACTTGAGTATGGGTTTGTGCTGCTCAAATAATTAATGAATCCATTAACTATTGACATCTCAACATGTATCCCTTGCTCTTGCTCTGCTAAGCACTGTTGGTGATACCAAAAAAAAAAAAAAAGTCAAGATATGATCCCTGTTGACAGCAAGCTTACAATTCCATTGGAGAAAGAAAATATATATATGCTCAGAATGACCTTTCGGAAAAGGAAGGATGACCCTGTCACTGCTCTGCATAAAATAACCAGGATTTGCCAATGCCAACGAGATGAAGTCCATACTGCAGCAGAGCATCAGAAGCCTTTCAAAAGCCTGGATGGAGCACACCTTCCTCCCCGACCTTATCCCTGGCCACTGCCTTTCCCCCAGTGCTTTGCCCCAGCCACATGGACCCTGAAGGTCCTAGAATGTGCAGACCTTGCTCCCATCACCATGCCTTTCCCTTGCAGCATGACCCCCCCTTCCTGCCCTTCCCCCTCCTATGATCACTCCATTGAATTCCGTAGGTTACCAAGGAAAGCCTCCCTTTGACTTCAAATTTGAGGGAATTGTTGCCCTTCTCACACATTCCCATTGCAAGTTCTGTTTTTGACTGTCTTCTAGGTACAAGGTCTGGTTGAAAGAAATAAAAATGGTTTATGAAACAGCTATAAATCAGTGATGCAATCCAGCACATCACTGTCTCCAGCTCAAACACACCTAAGAGCCCGGTCCCAGGATAGAAGTTCCCTAATCCTTCTCCCTCCAACTTCCCTGCAGATCACCTGACCTACTGGCTAAGCCCTATGGGAGCTAGAGGCTCTGTCCTGCACCTGGGATCTCCTTCCACACCTCCTTCATTTGGGAGACTCCTGCTCATCCTTTATATCTTGTCTCAAATGAACATTACTTAGGAAGCTTTCCCTGCTTCCCGGAAGTATGTTGGTCCTTCTCATCTTAGTTCCCCAACATCACTTTGTATCTGAGAACTTATCTGGTTGATTGTTCATCTTTGCTTGCCTGTCTCTCCCACCTGACTCAGTCTTTCTAGGATAGAGACTTATCTTCTAAGGCATGAATAGGACTGCTCGTGTATTCTCAGTGCTCTGCAAATGTCTGGCACAAAACAGACCAGTGCTTCCAACTCCTGCTAATTAATCATCAGAATCAACCACATGTCACTTAAAAACCCATATGCCTGGGCTTCATCTCAAAAGATCCTGCTTCTATAAGCCTAAGGTAGGGTTTAGGCATCTCTATTTTTCAAATGCTCCCCAGATAATTCCGATGTGCAACCAAGATTTAGAAACACTGTAGGAGGCCCTTACTAAAGTTTGTTAGTGATGGAATTATCCATCCTCTAGCCCTGGGCATGACCCGCTGCTTTTCTAGATAAACCTGAGATACCTTGATTGGACTGCCCTTGTCCTTTCTGGCTAGATACACACCCTATACCTATCTACATGTTGATATCACTGCACTGATAGTAAGCAGTATATGTACTTATGGGCTCAGTTGTTGTGTGTGGCCATCTCCATGTATAATGGGAGGTAGAGAAGAATATGATGGGTGTGTAATTGCAGTAAGAATAATGGCAGAGACCTTTCAGGCACACCTCGTCTTCCCTGTCTAATGTTCCCAAGATATCATGCCCATACCTCTATAACATCATCCCTTAACTTTCCTGGTGTGAGCATATCTGTGCTTAAACTAGACTGCCCCTGCTAGACTCCCTGAAGGAAGGACTATTCTCTTTGGTGCCATAATCTCAACTCCCATCCCAGTGCCTGCCACATAATAAGTACTCAGTAAAGGTTTGATGACTCTCTGACTCCATGCAGACTGAATGTCTGAATGAATAAATGAGTGAATGAGAGGATTTGGATAGATGGAAAGGAGGAAGAAGAACATTCCTACAGGAGTGGGGATTCAGAATCAAGGCTTTCACATGTTTAGAGAAGAGAATGAGATTGGTGCATGCATAAGAAAACTAGATAAGAGTTTTTGAAGATAGCTCCTCCTCTTTGGAGAAAGTTGGAGGCCTTTGTGGTTCCTTCCCATGAGATTCTAACAGTGGACTGCTGTACTGTGCAGGAGGGAGCTGTCCTGGGAGTCAAGTAGAGTATTCCTAACTCTGCCATAGAATTTCTATGTTGTTATCAATAAAGGGAAGAAAGAAAATGAAAGGGAATATTTACTTAGTATCTATTTTGTGCCTGGTGCTTTGCATATGCTGTGTCCCTGGACAGCAGTGACAGCTTCTTGTGCTATTACTGTCACCTTTCTGCTGATGGAAATGAAAGTAAAAGAGTTTAACTGACTCTAACAACTTGTTCTTTTTCCTGCGTACTTTGCTGCTTCCATTCACTTAAGCTATCTTGGCGTCTGTTTCTGTGACTTGAAAATGAATGGATTGTGTTAGATTACATCTTAGGTCTT